ATCATCATCATCATCATCATCATCATCATCATCATCATCATCATCATAGGCTCTGAGTAGTGTTGGTACCCCTTTCTGTTTGTAAGTGCTTTTCTCACCGTAACAACCACTGGCCAAATTGCTATGAAGCAAACCAGATGCATACTGGCTCTAAATCTCTACATCCAGACTCCCAACAGCCTCATGGCGCAGCAAAACCACACGCAAATCTTCAGGAAGGCCAGATATGTCTTTGCTGGCGATCCTCACAAATGCACATGGCTCTGCTTTTTCACTCAAACAGATAGGTGAGATTGATCTTAAACTCAGAGAAACTTAAAAGAAAAAAAGAGCTCCTTGCCATCAATGTGGTCTTGCCAGATCCATTGGAGCCAACCACTCCATAGCGATGGCCACGCCTTTCGATTCGTCAAGAGACCGATCAAACTCTTGCCAAAGCGGTGCAAAGCGATGCAAAGAAGGGCAAGGGCAGCGCATCTGCAAGTCTGCACCTGATCTCCAAACATGCACCTCGCAACAATGGCTCTGGACTACCACCGTACATTAGCAGCAAATTCCTCGGTGATTCAAGCAAACCACAAGAGTCTGAGAAACACTTCAAGCTGGTTGAAACGCACCAGCCAAAAGAAGCTGGATGGAGATATGTGGAGACCAACACCAAGAGTGTGTGTGTGCGATGAAAGCATGAAAATCGGATCTCTACCAGTACAAAGGGCATCGCTACTAGGAGCCAGGACGCTACTAGGCTGGCATCGCTACTAGGAGCAAGAAGCTCCTAGTAGCGATGCACAGTAATCGAACACATTCTCTTGCCACGTCTCGGAAGATAGCACAAGAACTCTGCCTCATCCACTGCACCCAACTCAGCGGCCGGCCCGTCACTAGGCGCTGCGGCCTGCAAAGACGGCGCGACATGGAGTGTCATTCCAACTTCGAAAATCAGCTCTCTCCTAGCTTTTGCACACAGTGATATGTGGAAACTATCTCCATCGCTCTTCGGTTGGAGGCCATCGCTCTTAGGTTGGAGGCCATCGCTAGTAGGTAAACCACTGAACCAACCATGCAAGTTTGGCCTGCAACACGCTAGCACAAAGACTCTGGGCGTCTTCCGTGGAGATCTCGTACTCTTCCAGCATAGGTAAAAAGCCCTCCTGGGCGGTTGAGCCAGCAGAGCAAAGCAGCAAAGCTATGCAAAGCTTATCACGGCTTGATAGTCCCGTGGTCTTTCACGGGCAAGAAGCAGTTGCTAAAGCTGCCAGTCTTGCATGGCTCAAGTCTTGCCAAGTGCCATGATGTCTTTGATGACCCTGAAAACCAGTCTTTGCACTTGGTTTTCCGGCCTCCAACTCCTGTCTCAACGATTCAGCATCGTTGAAGTCTTGCACCAAGGACACGGCCATGTTGGCCAAGTAGTCCTGGGCTTCAAGTCTCCAAGCTGCGTTTTGCTTCGTTCGTCCTGCCGTTTTGCTGCGTGCGTTGCTTCGGAAATGGAGCGTTCTCCAACCTACTAGCAATGGCCTCCAACCTATGAAGCAACGGCTTCAGAACATGAGCTTCTTATAGCTTCTTCATCTTCATTTCTCAAGAAACGACAAACTCAAAAGGCCGAGCATCGATGGCATCTTCATCGAGAGTGGGACAGCCCTGCTGCACAGCCCGCCTGCCGCATTTTGACAGGTTTTTCAATCTCTTTCTACATCTGAAACAAAACTGAGATTTGGAAGAGAAACAAGAAGCTATTAGAAACAAGTGCCACGCTAGTAGTAACAAGTGCCTTACTACTAGGAGCAAGAAGCTACTAGGAACAAGAAGCTGTTAGGGGCTGCAGGGCAGTGGGATCGTGTCGGTTCATTCGCTCATGTTTTCTCGTCTTCGACGACTCCACACCTCACTGCATCTTCCTTGATAGCCTCCGGAGCCACCTGTGATCGCGGATCGCGTTCGAAGAACGGAACCCGTCCGCCTGCGGTCCGAAAGCCACGCCTGTCCTTCCGTTCATCCTACTAGTAAGGCACTTGTTACTACTAGCGATGCACTTGTTACTACTAGTAAGGCACTTGTTACTAATAGCTTCTTGTTACTACTAGTAAGGCACTTGTTCCTAGTAGCGAACATTGTTTCTAGTTCATGCCTTCCGCTTGGGCGGTGCAAAGACCGAGGCAAGGGTTGGCCGTTCGTCAGATGGAGCCTGGCGTCGAGACGCTGAGCCAACGACCATGGCATGGGTGAAAAACACACGGTTTGGTGAAAAAGGGTGAGAGGCGCAGACATCGCACCTCACGGTGCTCACCCTTGGGCCGCAGAGGTGGTGGCATAGCATCGGAGACCGTGCCGATCAAAATCCAGCTCAGCTATAGGCCCTATAGCCCCTATAGGCTAATGGCGGCGATGGTTCACAAATGTTTAAAAACTATGGGAAAGTTGATTAAAACTGCTGAAAAGTGTTTTGCAAACGAACAGTCGATGCTTTCTTGCAAAGTCGATGAAGCTTGTGACGTCTGCTTCACTCAAGGGTGAAGCTGTCACTCTTGCATCGAACCTTTTGAAATCATGGGTCATCCTATCGCTGCAATCAGCTTGAACAGTAACGGTCAGCAACGACCAACCATGTCATGAGCCATCTCTCATCGTACAGACGCACTTCCGGCTCTGCGCAGTGCGGCGATTTCCGCCTCCACGCGGACAGGGCCGCGGCAGAGCCAAGCCACCCAGATTTGAAGCCTCCAGACTGGCCGTGTACCGGCCGACGCCGAAAAGGCCATCACGTCGAATTCTGAGGAGTGGACGATGCCAAGGCCAAGACAAACAGCTAAAGCTTTTTTGGGCCACAAACAGCTGCACTGTTTGATAGTTCCACAGGAGTTCCACCAAGTCCCTCTTTCTCCCTCCTTCTTCTTTCTCTTCTTCTTTCGACCTTCCTTTGGGTTGTTTCTTTCTCTCTTTTTTCCTAGACCTTCAGACCTGTCATTGTGTCACAAAGTCATATGTCACTCGTTGAGAACATTTGCCGTCAAAGGCCCACACCCATCCCTCTGCACTTGGCTGCAGCATGGGCCAGTCTAGAGCCAAGATTGGAATACAGCATACCGTTGAGAATGCAACCAGTGTAGCCTCGTGCAAACAGACATTTGAAGCCACCGGCCTGTATCTCATGTATAGCATGAAAGGAGCCTTCAACAAAAGCGTCCTTCAATGTCCTTCGTGCACATCCTTCGCTCTTAGATTGGAGTGCATGAAGGAGCCTGTCCTTCGTGCACATCCCTCGTCATCCCGCCGTCTCTCACCGTTTCTCCGCGCCCAGTGGCTGCGGTGGCTGCGATCGCGTCGTCGCGTCTAGGTATACATTATCAGTGCCCTTTGGGCAGAGGAAGCGTCCAGGCTCCGCCTATTGTCTTTGCCAGACGATTTGTACATCAAGAAGTCCATGGCTTTGCCACAACCTCAAGTCCTCTACTATTGCGCTGGAGTGGACGGGTTATAGCGGGCATCAGACGTCTTAGAAGCTCTGTGTGTGGTCTTTGAAAGAACTGGTTCACTGCCCAGACTCTAACCCCTCGAGCGCCTCAATAGTCTACTGTCGCTGCTTCCCAAAACTCCTGCGCAGTGCAAGCAGCTGTGCCAGAGGATGAAGCGAAGAAGTCGGTATGAAACCAAGAACCAGAATGCACCAAGAAGCTAAAGCTCTTCTCAAACACTTCTTACGATTCATCCCGATTCTCTTCCGTTTGTTTCTAGAGGCCGTGACAGCTTTAGCGACATGAGATCAGGCTACATCACTTGGATACCTAGCCTTGGCATGTTCAAAAACTCATTGGGAGAACAGTTAGTTCTCCATGTTTTCCGTTCGCCTTACCATCTGAAAAGCAAAGACTCTCGTTTTCTCCTGCAAAGCATTGCGGCCTGGTGCCACGCGGAGCGAGCCCTGTGCGGAGCGGGAGCAGTTGTGCGTGGGAGCAGAACAAGAAGGAGCCAAACATGCACCTCTTCTTCTTCTTCTTCGACCCGGTAATATGTTGGTTTGATTCGTGCGAAATTATGCGCAACTCACCTTCTTTCTAAACTCAAGGTACAGAGACGACCGATTCTCGGGCCCGAAACTCGCCTTGTTGACCTGTCATAGAGAGCAAACAACGATGCTCGGAGCTCCAATTTGGAAGCAAAAATGGATGGAGAACGAGAAGACGAACGAGCTTGTGCTGTTTTGACAGCAGAACTTGTAAGTAAAGGAGCTTTGAATTCTTGAGCACTTGAGTCACTTGAGCATCTTTCACTGCGTTTTGAAGGCAAAAAAATACACACAGGTACAAACAAGAACACCTCTTGTCTATTGCTTCCCACGTTCCGACCTGCATCTCGGTGTTCCTTTGAGATTTCTGAGTTTGAAGAGGCAATCCTCGATACGCGTAGGCCCGGCGCCGCACGGCCCACTTCGACGAATGTCCAAAGAATGTCATCGTGGGATATCAGCATTTTGAACTTTTGGACCACACAAAATCAAATGCTTGGCATTTGGTCCAAGCAATTTGTTTGGCATTGGCCTCCAGAATCACCTTCCAGGAAATCGTTCAGCACCTGGCACGGAGTCACCGAGAAGTCCAAAATCTGTTGTTCTCCTCCTTCCAGCGATGGCCTCCAACCTACTAGCGATGGCCTCCTTCTTCCAACAGTTAACAACCAAGGCCACTGTTGTGTGTTTCGCCTTGGCCAGTGCTTCGCTGGGCACGTTACCCAGCTGGCAGCTGGTCACAGCTAACCTGCAACGGACAAGGAGCATGAGGTTGATGAGCTCTTCAAGGAGCTTTTGTCTGGATTCCGAAACGATCCCGTCCCCTAAGGGCTGGCAACGCATCCCTTGTGCCGCAAGGAAGAGGTGGTCTTTTTCTCTCGCAAACAGTTTTGGCAAGGAAGTTTCGGAGAAACCCAACCAAATCTTCGGAAACCGCAAAAATGTCCAACTCCAGCACCGTTGCGGGAAGCCATTGCGGCGAACTCCAGCCACGTTGGGATTCGCCTGTACCATGCGGATCTCAATCGACGGCACGCGTGGATCATGATCACGGACTCCTGCACAGCGCTGCGTGCGTTTTGGGACTCTTGGTAAAACCAATGTGGAGTGAGACCTGGCCTCGGACCTTGAAACATTAGAATTCTACTAGGAACAAGTGCCTCGCTAGTAGTAACAAGTGCCTTACTGGTAGTAACAAGAAGCTAGTAGTTAATTTTAATTTTAATAGCTTTTTGTTACTACTAGTGAGTGAGACCTGGCCTCGGACTCTTCTTCAGATGTCCACATCTCTTCAATCTCTGACAAGTACACAATCACCTAAGCCACCAAGATGGAAAACCAACGCATGCACATCGCTACTAGTAACAAGTGCATTACTACTAGTAACAAGAAGCTACAAGTAACAAGGTACATCACTACTCGTAGCAATAAGCTACTGTAACAAGTGCATCGCTACTAGTATTTTATTGTTACTAGTAGTAAAGCACGTGTTACTTTCGAACAAATCTTCAACATTGCCCTTTCACTCGATTCGTTGTTCGCACCCAGTTCTGGGCTCACCAACGCGGGTACACAACAAATCCAGCGCTGGCACAGGCTGGAAATCCAACAAAGCGGTCTTGACACCATCCTGGCGGATTCTGTGTGTGTGTCTAATGGGCATGGCATGGGCATGGTCACCAGAAAATGTACATCTCGAAGAATTGGAATTGTTGGTTTCTTTCGTCCACATCTGGCTCTTTTTGAGAAACGTGCTTCCACATCTGGCTCCCGCCTGCCAGTTGCTACGGATCTTCGTGGGGATCTTCAAGACCGTCCCAAGCTCCTGCAGCTGTCCCAAGCTTGTGACCGCTGTGAGTCTGGGATTCGGTATCACCAGTCTGAGAATCAGCCTCGCCTCAGAGCTGAAGTGTGTGTGTTTGTTCGTTTTCTTTCGAAAAGGATGCTAAGACATGATTCCGTTGTCGTGTTTTATCTGTCCTTTTCTTTTGCTTTCATTTCAAATCCTTTTTAGACCCTTTATGTCCTTCCTTCCTTCCTTCCTTCCTTCCTTCCTTACTTCCTGCTGTTGGTTTTAAAAGCATTAGCCCAATTTGAGGTGACAGGTCCTCCAGAGACATGGCCAAGACATCAAAGGCCTCGATGAAGTTGCTCATGGCCTTCACGAATTGCCCCATCTTCTGTGCGTGGCTCTCTTTGACCTCAATGGACTCAGGTGGGACTCAGGTAGGACTCTCTCGCACGTCTCAGCTTGCTTAGGACTTAGCACTGGACCTAGTGCTTTTCAAGTGCCGCTTTTTACCCAGCAAGAACGGTTCTTGCAAGAATGTCTCAGAAAAGTCTTGGCTCTTGAACTCAACTATACAATTTTGTCTACACCTTACTACTAGCACA